ATATATATTTATACTAGTCTTCCTTATTATATGTAAATATGTATACTGGATCAAATTTATTAACAACGTAATCCATTGTTCCAAAGGCAATTGAGTACCTGTCTCGTTAAACAGGCTTCAACTCCTGTCATCAATTTTCAAAGAATATTTCCATACCTAACTGTAACCAAGTCGTTCAGTTATTTCGCACATGTTGCCCTGCACTTTTTCATGTTCATATCCGTAAATTGAATGTAAATTATCAGTTTTTTGGGTGATCATTGTCTGTCAATCACTTGTCGAAATGGCCTCATAATTATCAACATATCAAAATTCTTACATACATATTGATAAATGTTAAAATACTTCATAAAGATATAGTTATATTTTACTATAGGTACATAAATTCAATTTCAGGTACGGACAAAATTTTTATTGCAGCTAACTATACTACAAACAGTAATTATGATATTCAATTAATTTTGACGCCAAAGTTAAATGTAAATCATAAAAAATGTGATACTTTATTACTTTTAAAATCAATTATTGTATTTGATTATTGCAGTCTAATTATAATTCCAATGAGAAAAAAACACATTCAAGATAGGACAGTCCAGATCTCAGCATGTTCTGCAGATTGTATATTTGTTATCATTATTTGGTCTCAAAAATAAATTTAATAAGCTTTTTTGCAGACTAGTTTATACCCGCGATGATGTCTGTGTGATTAGTAAAAAAATTACGTCCTTGAATAAATGTCACCAATGTACTTACAAAGGGTTCCAGCCCTTTATAAGTACAGCCTATTTACTGACCCTATATTATAACCCTTCTAAAGGATAATATGATGAAAGTAATAATTTATAATAACAAATAAATTTAATATAAAAATTAAACGATGGTAAAGTATAAAACAAAGTCGCTGTCGCTGTCTGTCCGTCCCTATGTATGCTTAAATCTTTAGCAGCGGATTTTGAAGCGGAGGTTTATATATATAATACGTACACCCGTGCGAAGCCGGGGCGAGTAGCTAGTAATATTATAAATGTGAAAGAGGGATGATGAAAAACTACAGAACCGATCATCATGAAATTTTGTACACATGTTCTTGGAGGTATTAGAATGAACATAGGATACTTCTTATTAAGAAAAACCAGATATTTCTTATTCAATGCGAGCGAAGCGGCGGCTAAAAGCTAGTATATAATATCTGACAAATAGCAACCACTAAAAGATACAGTCCCGCCCTTATCCGGATAAAGATTTATGTGTGTACATAAAACGGGAATCGAACCTCATATTTCGGCATCATTTTACCAGGGGTGTAGACCCTTCGTAAGCGGATACAATAAAAAACAACATAATTACCTACGTAGGAAATCTGTAACGCGTCTAGAAAATGATATATGACTATACAAATAAAATTTGTATTCTTACGGTCAACGAACCGCACTTGTTCCTATATATGTATATACATATATAAGTTTAAAGTATATATGTAATATATTTTAAAAAATACAATAGAAGAGACGTATTTAAAAATAAATAAGGTTCAATTTATTAAAACATTCATTAAGCAACTCAAATTGCAGTCTTTAAATCTATATACATAAATAAAATTGGAGTGTCCGTTTTAATATTTAAATAACAATTTTTTACTACATGCATTTGAATATAAATACGGTACATACATCAAAATAACATTTTTTCAATGTTTGTCTGTCTGTCTGTTTGTTCCGGGTAATCTCCTAAATGGCTGGACCGATTTTGACGGGTCTTTTATTGGCAGCTGATATAATAAGTATTAACATAGGCTGGAATTTAACTTTAATATTCTAAAATATTTTAGAAAAAAAATATTTTAGAATATTAAAGTTAAATTCCACGCGGACGAAGTCGCAAGTATAAAATATAAAATATGAAATATCCGTATTGCCGTAATTATTAATTACTGTTTGTATGTTTACGTATTAATATCGAATTTGCACTCACAATATCGTGAAAATGGATGGAAACTGTTTGCAGTGATTCTCCATTACATAAAAGGAATATGTAATTATAATTTCAGTTTTCGAAGCCCTGTGATCTAGTTTATGTTTTGTAGGTCAATCAATAAACATATAAAGCACAATTAGACCTACATAAATAAAGATATTTATTTATAGTTTTAATGATGTTCAGCAATTGACAAGGACCCTCTTATTAAAATTAATACTACCAATAATCTATATAGGAATAGTCTAAAATAATTATTTTTAAAAAAAGAATTTTATCTAAAGATAGTAGAAGATATATATATATATATATATAGTATAAGTGTCTAAAGATGATCTCTGATGCCCCTAATTTATTGGTGGTCCAATTTCAAAATATAAAATAAATTTTATTTGACTATTTATTTCGGTTAATTATGAAAATGTGCTCTTAATATGATTTATTTATAAGATTTTAAGGTTTTTATAAACAATTTATGAAATTATTATAGAGATAGAATGCGGCATTGACTTTCGACACGTGATGAAATAGGTTAATAATTATAATATTGAATACTACAATACATCAGTGAAAACCTAACTACATAGGACATTGCTGAGGTAAGCGTACATAAACGTACAGTTAAACAGATGTAATTCTAAAATTATTTTACTATTATACTACGAAAAAATATAATAGAATTCTCTGTATATTCACGGCAAAATGAAGGAATGCTAAAAGCACCCGAGCGAAGACAGGGAGGGCTGTTAGTTCTTTGTAAAATACATTGAAAAGATAGTAAGAACATCAGTTTTTACAAGATAACTGACAATATGTCTGTCATTGAAAATAAATTAAAATGCATACAGATATCGAGTCGGTAATGTAGGTTTTTCTATTAATGTTATAATTATAAATGAACCTGCCCCGTCTGATATATCAATGGACAGCCTAAACAGGTGGAGAGATATGAGTATGATATAGCCATTAAGAAATTGCTACTGGAATTACCAATAAAGTGTATCGTATCGTAGGCAAGACAATAAAACTATTTCAAAATATTTAGATAAGTTATGTAATACAATTTAATACTGCAGATCTCTATAGCCATATAGAGGTCAGTGTAGAAGGCATTGCAAACGCCCGCAAGGACATATGGAACGGCTGAAGGCCAACCCCTTTTTGCCGGTAACGACTTTGGTCAAAGAAAACCACTAGGGGTTCGAACTTCGGCGTAGAATGTCGTAATTTCGATCAACGTTAGAATGGGACGGAAGATCAAACTTGTGCTGGTCATAGGTAGTATTTGAATTAAAATACGGTTTGAAATAAATAATGTTATAATAACATAATGTAATGTTTATTTATTAATAATAATAATAATATAGAGGTTAATACATTGGTCCCACAGTATGTATACATGTCACATGGGAAATATAAACGCAATATTAAGTCATAAAATGTCCTGTACCTACCTAATAATAAAATTTCAATGAAATTTGATTGACCTATTACTGTTTATAAAATATAAATTTGTTATTAAAATAAATTTATATTTTATATATTTATACTACTGTTCTATATTTTGTTTTTAGGTGTTTATCTTCTTAGATATCATGTTACTATTTTTTATATTGATAATAAAAATGTATACATAACCCCAATAATTGAACTATAACTAAACAAACTAGTAGAAACATAGAATATTATATGTAGTTGATAAGATATAATGACCATCAATAATGTACCCATTACACGTCGTTCTTCTTGGCTAAAAAAATAAACAAATACTGCAAATACACCGTTACCGTAATATAGTAGATAATTCTGTCATCCAAAGAAAAATGTAAGCACCTGGTCTGTAAGTATATCGGAAACATTGTCTTTAGCAGTCATGGACGGTGTTTGTGAGTAGGTGTTCGTACCGTAATATCAGTAAGTATAGAAGCGACGGGCCAAACGGCGGTTCATTGAAATGTGGTGAGTATGATGAACTTTGGATTACGTTCGACACGCGAGCGATCGGCGAACACGTGAGAAACCTGTTTTTGCGTTATTTTAGAACAAGCATAGAGGGTTACTCGTAGACTACGTTCCGAGCAGGTATCGGCCCATGTACTATTTATGTTTTACCACCTTAATGAAAGGTTAAAATTGTTGAGAACATAAATTGCTACTGTTTTGCGTCAAATTAGTAAGGTGATCTGAAGCAAAAACGTATCGTACTTCCCTAGCCAACAATTTTCAAATTAAGAACGTGCGATAGGAAAGAGCTATAATTCCTATCTTGCATTAATTGAGGCGCATCAATAACAAGTAGCGCGGGCGAGGATCTTTAATAACTCTGTTACCGAACTGTTCAACCGTGTAGAGAACCATTTTTATGCGGTTCAATTAATTCTTTTACTCGATTAAGTCTGTAATGAGTGCAAAAACTGCTTGCTCCAATTCATCTTATCTTAAGATTCATTTTCTACAGTTTCCTTAAGATAATCTGTGAACGATTTCAATGAAAAACAAATGACGAATTCTAAAGGATTGTAAAAATGGTTTTGTTTCCCCGGCTGGTTGTTTTACAATTTTATCGGGCGGCACGCAACGTTCTAATTTCAAATTTGAAATGGAATTCTCGTCAAGTCGCGTTGTATAATACGTTGTCGGCCGAACGAGTGCTGCCGGCCAGATAATCGGACTGGTTTCGATATCTCGAAAAAAGTAAAAAGTTCACTTTAAAACAACGTATACACGGGAAGTTGCCGCTGATAATCTGGTGAGGTAAGTGCAGTTTTGACTTTAATGTGTTAATAAAATTGTAAGCGTTTTGTCGGCGAAACAGAGCCAAGTTTGTATTCATATTTTTGGGTGCAGAAAATGGCGACGGGCGACGATGCACCATTTCGACGCGTACGATATTAAATTAGGTAGTCAGTGTGTATATGCTAAATACTTTGTAATCAGGGCAAATGATTGCCGTACATTTGCAAGACAGTTGACAAATAAAAGGGATTATTTCGCGCTGGCGCAGTTTTGATATTGAAGGGACTCACCGAGGTTGGCGGTCATGAGGTCTTGATCTTTGGGTTTCTTTTTTCTCGGACGTCCTTTTTGTCGTGGTGGTGGTGCGGCGGCACCGTTGAAAAAGGGCCCTTTAGGAACATCGGCTTCTACTCGCGAAAACTCGGGGGAGGGGTAAGGGGGGTAATGCTGTCCTGGGGGTGGACCGGCGTAGGGCCCCGGGCACAATTGGGGTGGGCCCGGAACAGCCATGTGAGGGCCGTATTCCGGCATGGTTTCATAATGCAGCCTGCGAAAGGAAACTACATATTATTCGATGTTAACATATTACATTAAAGAATTATATAATGCAAAATAAATTTTAGCAACGCAAAGTATGTAAAGTAAAATAGACTTTAATTATTTATATTACTAGCTACCATTTATTATATCTTCTAAGTAAATGTCAACTACTAATGTACATTATAAAAAGAATATTACTTTCTTCACGCGATTCTTTTCCCCAGTAAGTAAGTCTTATTTTTGCATTTTTATGTTTTTAAAGATACACATACATATTTACTCGTATTTTTATGTCGCACATTCATTAGTGAAGAAAAGAATCATTTACGAAGGGGGTCTTAATTAAGTGACGCGCACAGTATGCATACGTATACATTTTTAGTTTTTGTAGCAAGTATTCAATGTAATTGTTTTTATTTAAAGCATTATTTTATTAAATGATAATAAAATAAAATATAAAATAACGTAACATAGTTGTTTGTTGAATGAAAAACTGTTAACCATTATAGATGTGGAATGCTCGAACTCTATGAAAGTAAACAATTTTTCAAATGAAAAATAAATATAAATCAGAAAATTAAAAATGTATCATCTATATGTACAGTGTTGTTGGATTTCGTAATCGTACCTATCACCCTTACCGTCACACCTTGTATTATCATTAAACTTCATATATCAGTTCGCCCCAAGTTTATCTACTTTTGGACTTTGTAATGTTAAACTACAATCGACATCTCACAATAAATTCAATAATATATAAGCAATAAAATATTTTAATTCTACGTACTCCAAATATACCTCCAACGTATAAGATTCAGGCAAAATTTTTACAACTATTCATTGCAAAACCATAATTTAATTAGTAAATATATTTTATTATTATTCCACTGCCTTTTACATTAATAATTATTACATATATAATATTATTGCCTTAATGATACAATAAATGTATATACTCATATTATAGTACCTACCTATACATGATCTAGTAGCAAACAAATGTCACAAAAGTTTGATATCCTTGGTGCTGATCAGATATTAAAGATTAAAGCCATATCACTTTGCCACTTGTATGCCAATTTAATTATTTAAAAAATGCCCGCAGAAAATAGTATCTATAGATGCCTTGACGATACATAGGAATTAGACTACCAAAAAGTCGTCTGTGTGAGAAACACAGTCTCACTTATTTTATATGTTCAGATTCAACTTTGTAAACTGTGTTCTAGTATAAGTTACAGACTGGACAGTATAATTACAGTATAAAAGTCATGATATCTTAGCCTTCTAGAGTAGTAACGCATGAGTGGTATAGTGAGACAATGTTAACGTGATGTCCATAGTGCTGTTCCTGTATATAGGGCGACTGTTATTGTTTTGTATCAGGAGGGCAGTATAATTGACATTCCAATTACATAAAAAAATATAGTCGATAGTACCTGCAATATACAGCCGAATCCCTGATGCCAAATGTGTCGCCCTTGTTAAGAGGAGTGTTGCATAGTGCACACGAGAAGCAGTGCACATGGAAAACCAGGTCACGGGCTCTCATCACCAACTCAGAAGCAGATATAGGCGTGTTGCAGCGGGCACACCGTTTTGAACCGTATAACCTGTAGGACAAGGAACAAATACGTTTTTCATAAGGTATATAATTGTACAGGCAATATTTAAACAAATATTTTTGTAAAAGAAGCAGATTTTATAAACAATAGTATTCATTCTTATATAAGAGTGGTGCTTATTAGGCAAATGGTAGGTACGACGTTTGAATGTATACTGATTGTTTATTCTTATAATCAATATTTATATACTACTTACTTACTAAGTACATGTATTCATCCTTACACTTATTTGTGCCATTAAACTATTATGCTAGTTAAATCCTGCGAATGTCAAAGATTTCCTGTCTATAACAGTTTGAAAATCAGTCTCTCAATCAATCAATCTCAATAAAAAAATAATGTAAAATAGGTATGGCTATCAATTTTTGTAAAACATGTTTTGTACAGTTTGTGATTAAACAGCTCTATATAATACGCTCTGGACTATTCATCAATTTTAATAGTCAATCTTTCTATAATAAGTTGTGAAAGATTGACGATCAGTTATACAATTCGATAAGGATCTGTTAAATATATACATACATCACTATAATTTCAAACATTTTACAGTAAGTAAGTAAAAATTCAACAATTTCTCAATTGTATTGGTATAATGTTGTGTTCTAAAACTGTAATTATAGAAAATATTTCTTTAATAACGTAAAAATTTTAAGCTAAAGCTATTTCAAGTGGTTATTGAGATATGCCAACAACATATAAAATGAGATATTTAAACAACCAATTTATTTTAAGAAAGTAAATAATTCCTTCGTAATATAGATATATATTATAAAATTGTAATGGAAAAGTTCGTAACGTAAGTTGTCTCAAGTTTTCGTTTAATACTCGATGTTACCGTAGAGACTGGTGTTGTTTTAAGACAGCAATAAATGAATAATTATTTATTTATACGGACGACCTGACCCGGCACACGAAGTTTTGTTATATATTTTTTTCTTGATAGAATCACCCTTATTACCAAGGGCATAAAAGTAGCCTACACTCCATTAAATATACACCAACAATTTCATGAAAATCTAAATATTTCTGAGTACTTCTATAATAATTACTGTGATACAAGATTTTATTTATTAGATGTATTATGCCACTGTAATGGTAACATAATATCTATTTAAAAATAATAAAGTTCTAAAGCTATTCAGCCTCCGCCGCAATTCACGCAAACTTAGACATAAGTTGCTATAAGTTCGTCGTCGCTGCTATAAGTTTGCCGTCACTCGTCTAAAGGAAAACTGGCGAGAGGTGGTAAACTTTTTTACGTTTAGATTTCTTTCTGAGACCTTTGAACACGGATCCAAAGTTCTTAGATTATTACGCCGATGGTTGCCATATTAAAAAATAAACGTCTCAACCTTTAAGTAATTTTAGTGGGGTAATTAAAACCGTCCGAGGGACCGAGATGGCAGATAGCGACTAGGTTCGTCCGCCGAGTAAGTTGTCCCCGTGTGGTCCGCTCCCACTGCTATCGCGATCGGCCTCTACTGAATAATTTTCTAAATCTCTATATATGGAATTCGACCTGGGAATTTGTGGGTAGCTATTAGATTTTTCCGTTTCTAATTCTAAGTTTTCTTGGTAGACATAAACATTATTGGACAGTCTGTTTTAAATACTTGTTAATATGCTTTTAACTTTATTCACAATTATACAATTTGTGTACCTAAAGTTATAAATATAATAAAATCGGATGATCTATAAATTCTAATCACGATGTTATAGTATACTTTATGCTCTAGTATATAAATAAATAATTTAAGAATATAAACCTTTTTTCAAATAAAATACATTTAATTGATTTGTCTGTAATTTTGTATTTAGCAATTTACAAAAAATACAGTAAAGTCCGCATTAGTCGGTTAATCATATACAATGATTTTATAATATTTCAATAGTAACGTTTCAATACTTACTGCACCATATGTGTAATATAGTCTCTTAAATAAACTAAAAATCAAGTAGACAAGTATTCCAACGACAGTATAACATAAATTAATGTACATTCTACGGGAAATGGCATGTTACGAATTCAAATTAAATTTCCTAACCAGTGCTCATTACTATGAAGGGAGCTACTATATGACCACTTGTTGTTACTACGAATGCACTTCTAGCGAAAAGGAATCCAAAAAAATCATAAAACATAACAAGGTCTTGTCCGCACATTGTATTATAGTATCTAATTATTTTCTCTTTCAACACGCTAGTTATAAAAAATATTATAAATTGCTGAGTAAAAAACTTTCGATCGGGTGAGTTAATTCATAATGTTACTTTGTTATCACAAAGATAGTGATCTTGATTAACACCATTTTATTAGTCACTAATGTGTTTCAGAATTTTATTAGGTATGCTAAGAGATTTTAGTCAGAAGGCGGCGTAAATAGTCATCACTTTTATTGCCTATTAAGATACTCATACAACTTAGTACAAAAAAGATTCTCTCTTACATGGGGTAGACAGAAGCACAGCCAACTGACAACATTGTGGTAAATCTATCATGCCCACAGTTCGATAAACATATATGAATCTAAACATCCATGTAGAGATGTACAAAACCATATTTTATTATGACTAATGATCCGCCGTGACATCGCATGGGTATAAACATTCCCAACATTTATAATTTAAAAAAAACATCATGAAAATCGCTGATAAAATTTACGTAGAATCTTTAAAATCTGTATATACCCACATATTGTTTATAATGCATTCATATAATTAAAATATTTTCCTCTATATCTATATATACATAATATTAGATTACATTATTATCACCATTAATGTTTAAAACCAACTACTAAAGGAGGTTCCACTTTTATGACAATTCGCGACATTTGTGCTAAAGTGAACGAGATGCGGTGATTCTTTCAATATAGATTTATTTGCTTGTGTGTGTGTGTGTGTGTGTGGTGAGGGTGATTGTCATATATATTTCCAAATTGAATTGTTAGTATGTTTTTTATTCTGTGGTCTAAAATGTATCTACTCTTATAATTCGCAGCCGGCCTTATTTGCGACCAATGGCACCCAGCCCTACAAATGGAGGTTAAAATGAAGCTATCGAGCGGGTCGTGGGCGCCGGTCACGAGCGATCGTATCGGCTAGTGATTGACCTAGCTCCTATTATTTTAACCATCATCAGAGGTGAGAATTTGAATAGCGACTGATAGCCTTTGAATCCATCTCTTTGTTTAGAAAATAGTTGAGGTCATGCCTCGTAAAACAAAGATCACCTATGCTTTGCTGAGCATTAGGCTATAGCAATCTCAGATTTATTATAAATATACCTGTAATGTTTTATATACCCTTTAGACAAAATAGCACTATCTAAATTATTTATATTTTTTATTTTTATTATAATATTTAATATTTATATAATTTAATTATGGAAAGTAAAGGGATAATGACGCAAACCATCTTGTCGGCCCAACTGTCAACCTCACCTGCTCGCGTCGATGGTTCGTATGAATAGCTAACGACGGTAGTTCTAGTTCCCTAGTAGCTACCGTGGTGCTCCCTGCTAGATAACGGACGAGGCACACATACACCTGTCCAGGCGACTGGGCGGAAGAGGCTGCAGCAACCTTGAGGTCTAAATAACTTCAAAAATGTCTGGTGCAGAAAACAAGGGGAAGCTACTGCACTAAATTCCCATAGAAAGTCATCAGGAAAGTTTCACAAGAAAAGAATAAGAGATCGCCATGTGATCCGCGTAGCAACCAGCGCCGTACTGCGTCCGGGGCAGACGGTGGGAATTTTGTTACCGTCCATGCGGCTGTAGTAGACCAGGAATCGCAGGGAAATTCTGCTACTGCAAAATCTTTTAAACTGCGAAAAGACAAGAGGATAGGAACATGGAATGTGAACTCATGGCTGGAAAGCTTAAAATCTTGGAGGAAGAGATACTTAGATGTGCTGTCGAAATCTGCAGTCTTAGTGAGATCCACTGGAAAGGTCATGGCCACTTTCTCACTGATAAGAACATCATCTATTTCTCTGGAAATGATACTGAAAGCATAAACGGAGTCGCTTTTTTGCTACCGAATTCTTTAAGACATTGCGTTCTGGGTTATGAATCAGTGAGTGACAGAATACTGAGCATAAAATTAAAGGCTACGCCCATAAACCTAAGTATCATACAGGTTTATGCACCAAGGAGCTCTTCTAGTAATGATATGTTGGAAAATTTCTATTCAGACCTGGAAAAAACCATCTCAAAATTCCAACTTAGTCGTTCCAGTCGTAGTCCAATTCTTAGAAGAAGAATACATAATTAAATTTGTTTAAATAAAAAATATTTCTGTTCTATTCAATCTATGTGATATATAGAAATATCTATAAAGAAAAAATACAATAGACGACATTCCGTAAAAAAAAAACCTACAATATCTACAAAAGTAAGATCTACAATGTGAAAATAAAAGTGTAATTTAAGTTAGTACCTATACTCGTATGTTACTCATATTTACAAATACTTTATTAGTAATGGCATATGCACCAGTCTTAACATATTAATATTTACATTTAAATATTAGCAGTGATTTTTTTCAATTGTACCTTTTTGGAAATGAAATTAAAATGTATTTATTATTATTAAAAAAATCTACTGAATACATGTAATACCAAGTATGACTGTTTGCTTTTAGATTTGTTACAATTCTAAGCTCTGATAAGAACACAAGCCCTGGAAAAGTATGAGTTCAAAAGCCTTTGAAAGAATGTTTCATGAATTTGATGGCCTCGGTATTCTAGCAGTACCAGCAGTCTAGTACCTATAACACAAGCTCAACTTAGCTCGGGACTAGATGACGGTCTGTAGAATATTTAGTTATTATTATATTTACATTTACATTTATTATGTAATAAATTTCTGAGTGCCTATATCATAATGTAAAGTAGCCATATTGAAAAGATCATATTCTGTAATCAACACCCTACCATGAGTATAACGAGCCATCATTGCATTCAGTCGACGTTTATGGCATCCA